GTTTGTAAAAAAATTTCGTATGACATTTATTGCATTGAAGGCTTCCACTTGGGTTACAGCTACAGTCTCAGGATCACTGTCATTGTCCTCACTGTCCACAACTTGTGAAACAATTTCAGAAATTGTAGCTTGTTCGTTGACTGCAACATTTTCCTAGAACTCGAAAGGGGTAATTGCCTTGTAAGGAAGTTAAATAGGCTTTTGTTAGAAAAGAGCTTCCTTCACTTCAGATAAAAATGACCTTATAAGCGATAACGACTTTTAAAACTTGACCATATATCCGATATTTTGCAACAAAGAATTCCTATTCAGTGAGCCGGGACTTTGAAAAGTGACCTTATATGCGGGGTGACCTTATATCGAGGTCTGACTGTATATATATATAAACATCTGCTTTGCTTAAAGAGCTTAGCTAAGTAAACAAGCAGAAAGTGATTAACCTTTGAGCCTCAATTAAGACTTTTTACAATCCATGAGCTTTGAAACAACAAAACTCTGTTGCTACTATATTATTCAAAAACTAAGTAATATGTAACAAAGAAATTACAATTTAATCATAGGAAATCATAGTTAATAACTACTTCTTTTTGTTCAGAAAATATGCATCATATCAAACACAAAAAAATTTATATATGGTACACTTTTTCTATTGTAAACTATTTACATTATATTGATTTATGTTGAACTAAAATTGAATCAATATGAAATAACTAGTAAAGAAAAATACTTTGTAGTGAAAAGCCAATGGAAGAGAAGCACTACTGGACTCAGAGATATCGTCTTCAGAAAATGATAGTCCAAATCCCTGTGATGCAGCTGTAGCGATGCTGTGATCCATGTGAGATATGCCCTATTCGATGTATTAAAACAATTACAAACAAGAATATTTATATTCTCACTATAATCAAAATAAATGAACTTCATAATCCAATCACTTCAATAATCCAAACTAACTATTTTAATACTACTTCAAAATAAGAAGAAAAATTTTTTTTCTAATAAATGAGGTTCAGCATTCCAACCATTTATTTTTATCAATAAATTATAAACAAGTAATATTAAAAATTAAAAAAAATTCCAGTCACTTCCTACTTAGGTCTACAAATAAAAATTTTATTTTAATTACTTTTTATCAAATAATTAGGTACAATTTTTCTCCCATATGAAACTAAAATTAATTAATGAATTAATATTTAAAATATGCATTTGAACTTGAGTAGTTTAATGAAAAGTATTTTATTAACGATTGAAAATTTGAACAAGATACAGTAGAGCGCCGATTATCCGAACCCTTATTATCCGAACGTCCAATTATCCGAACAATGTCTGAATTATTATTTTTTTTATTATTATTATTGCTTTTTTTATAGTTTGGAATACTTTTTAACCTATCGACAATTTTTCTAAATTAAGAAGAATAAACAATATCCCCTACATCTGAAGACCATATTTAATTTACAACCTTTTTAGCAGTTTTCTTATAGTAGCCATACATACATGTATTGTGATACAGTTAAACCTACATACCCCTTTAGCCTGTGGCGTTGCGGTCTGAAATGCGAAGTCTGAAATGCGGTCAAAATGCAAAGATACCAAACAACCCCACAAGTCACCACTTGTGGGGTTGCTTGGTATCTTTGTTAGAGTCCCCACTTAAACTCAAAAAAGAAATTAAACTCCAGAAAAGCTTTCCACATGAAAAATGTTTCCTAGAACGGATTATAGGTTTCTTCATAAATAACACTAAGTTTAAATAAATAACTATCTTTATTAACATTTAGGAAACTTGTAAATTTAACTAAAACATTCTAACATATATAAAACTTAACCACTTTAACATTGAAGCAGCATAGAAAAAAACTGCGAAAAGGTAACCGGCGAGAACATGCCGGACTGCTAGCTAGAACCGACGGGGAGAGAGAGCAAGCTGTGGGGAGGCGGCCAAGTTATATCCAAAACATACTGTGCACGTTTTGCTGATTTCGCCCTTCACGCATATCTCCATTCAGGTATGAGGTTTNAAAAAAAAAAAAAAAAAAAAAAAAAAAAAAAAAAAAAAAAAAAAAAAAAAAAAAATGCATCTTCTTTTAAACGAAATCTTTGCTGGATTTCTTTTGCAATGGAAAATAATGAAAAATGTGGTAAAATCAGAAATTGACAAAAAAAATTATAAAAAACTGAAATATGATAAAAATAATTCCAAATGAAAAAAAAAGTTTAAGAAAAATAATTAAAAATATTTAAAAGTTGAAAAAAAAAACTTTTAAACACGCCAGAGCTATTTTAGCTGCCAGTCCTAAGCCTACAAAAAGGGCGAAGGGAAGTTAGAGTGCATAAATAATAATCATTTACATTAGATTTTAAACAACTTTCCAATTATCCGAACCATGTTCGGTCCCGAGCAGTTCGGATAATCAGGTGTGTGGTATCAGACAACTATAAAAATATAAATTTGGTGACATGGACCTCGCGTACTACCACTTAATGGTCTTTATTGAATTAATCTAACACAGCGAATATAAAATAATTAAACATTTAAATGTGCGCAATAAACTATTTTCTTTTTGTGCAACTAGTTATAGTTGCAATAAGTTAGAAATTATCACTGATGTTATTTTTAAAATAGTATGAGGAAAACTGAATCCCTTATAGTAAACTTTAAAACAATGATTAACGCTTAACCAATCAGAAAATTCCATTTTGTTTTTCACTCATCCCTATTTAATTGATGAATTGATATTTGAAAAAAAACTGCATTAACATCGAGTGTCACTCACACTAAAAGTTTAAAAAAATATATTTGACTACTCGAGTGGATGAATAAAAAATATTTTATTAACGATTGAAGATTTGAACAAGATGCAGGGAGAATGTGAGCTAACAGTAGGAATTGAGAAATGGAACTTAATTATTATTAATAGTATTACATATATAAAAATATTCCTGGGACCATTTAATTACTGGTTCCTTGTCGACTACATAGATAAAGAATTGAAATTATAGGCTGCGAGTAAGCAACTTTGATTCCAGCAAGGAAATTTAACCCCAACACAAAATTTGAAAACGACATATTGTTTGTGGTTGCCTCCTCTTACATGGTGGGTGATACAGGACGGGGGGCTCCTACATTGTGAGGACCACTCAGCTGGGGGGTGGGGCATAAAAATTGATAGATTTATGAAGATTTAAAATGCAGAAAGCCTTATCTTTCAATTTGCTCTTGTAGAATATAAGATTTCTTTCAATTTGATTTTGTGGGGTATCTATTTCATTGAGGAACAAGAAACTTGTGTGCATGCAGCCTAAATAACATGATCCTTAATCAGGAAATCTCTCTATTTTTTTTTTTAAATTTTGAATTTAGTTAAACTACATAAGTAGAGCCGCGTTGGTTCAGAGGATAGAGTGTTCGCTTTCTAATGCGGTGAACCGGGTTCGATTCCCAGTCGATACGAATTCCGCATCCGGCGTGAACCGACCACAGTGCTGACGTGAAATATCCTCAGTGGTAGACAGATCATGGGTTAGAGTCTCCTTGCCATCAGGCTAACAATGGGAGGCTCTCGTAATCTTCCTCTCCATGTAAAGCAAATGCGGGTTAGTTCCATCAAAAAGTCCTTCACGTAGGCAAATTTCTCCCAATACTCGATCCAGGAGTTCCCTTGTCTTCTTTATTGGGTTCAAAATTACAAGGCTATGGAGTTGAACATTAGTAATTGTAAACCCATAAAATTGAGTCAGCTGTTCAACGACAGTTATAAAATAAAATAAAATTACACAACTAACTTAAACACTTTTTAAATTGGTCAATATTTGCAGTTCCCGAATGAAGTTTATCAATACTATAATTTATTTTATAACCGTCGTTGAACAGTAAACTCAATTTTTGGGTTTATAACTACTTATGTCCAACTCCGTCACCTTGTAATTTTGAACCTAATCCATAAGAATAGGGAACTCTTGAATCAAGTATTGGACTTTTTGATAGAACTAACCTGCATTTGCATTAAAAGGAGATAAAAACCATGAAAACCTCCCATGGTTAATCTGACATCAAAGGGACTCTAACCCATGATTCGTCTATCATTGAGGATATTTTATGGACTCGTATCGACCAGCCATTGCCTGGATTCGAACTCGGTTCAACTTATTGGAAGGCAAGCGCTCTATCCCCTGAGCCATGAAGGCTCTCAATACACTATTTGGAAGGGAAAAAACATTTTTGATAATTATTGTTACATACTTTGTGAATTTTCCATACTTATTATTGACAATAACATTTTCAATAGTGCTGATCATATACTGCGAGACAGTGAGTTCACAATATATTTTAAAAAGTTCCTATAAAAGCTTTTCCCAACCTGAAATTGCTGTATAAACAGAATTTACCTCGTGACTGACTTAATCAGGTTGGAAAATTAACAGTTTTTCTAAATTAAAAGGTACAACTTTATTCTGTCATTATTTAAAGGCCAATAGCATTCAAAGCTTTATTATATCACTGCCCTGTTACAATACAATAAAATTTATAACAGCTATTCGAAAAATGAAATTTTAAAAGAAAATAAAAACAAATTTAAAAGTATTCTTTCAGATTATGCTTCATTAAAATGCTTTTTCATACCATTTGTAGGTTATCCATAGTGAACTGCAGATCCAAGAGAGTAGCTGTTGATGCTTCTGGAGAGGCATTCTCATCAGGAAGTGAAACTCTATTCTAAATATTTTAAAGTCATTAATCAGGGTACGTAGCATAATCTTTCAACAAAAAATAAGCACCTTTTAAGCACTCAAAAAATATTTTTAAGGACTATGTAGATTACAAAATGCAAAATAATTAACATGATCATGATAAAATAACTTCTTTCTAACAACTTTTTTTTTAATATTCAAATAGCTAATTATAAAATGTTCAAAAGAATTACAGGTTCGATATCAGAGGGTGAAAAATGACGGTGAAATTGAGAATATCTTGCAATATGCACCAGAGTTGCACATGAGAGAGGAAGAATCTCATCGAACCCAGCTCAATAGACGCACATGCGGACTCGCAAGTATTTCAACAAACATGTAAAACGATTAGCGGTTTCATACGCTACCGACCAATGGCCCGCCGTAATGGATTGTGATTTGAATTGTGAAAACATTGAATAGAACAATGCGAAAAGCAAGCTTTTACATAATACATGGCGAAAATAGACATGGTAAAGAAAAAAATAATTTTTTCAAAAATGGAAAATTAAGCCCTTTTAAAAACACCCAAAAAAGCACTTTTAAGACCTTTTAAAAAACGAAAATTGAAAATAAGCACCTCTAAGCCCTTTTTAAAAATGCTATGCATCATGTAACACATATTTAACAGATCACAACAAATGAAGACGCATCATAGTTATCAATATTTCCAAAAAAAAAATTAAGGAGATTTTTTAAAACAAATGAATATTGCAGAAAAAAATAAACGAATAAGGAATTTTTAAAAAAAATAAAATAGGGATTTTTCAGGAAATATTTTTAAGATTAAATATTAGAGTATCCACTATAATTTTTCTTGAAAATAAATAACTCAGGGTTGCCACTTAAATCTGGAGAAAAACAATTCCTTGTGCTTTCCCTGTACATATAAGACACACTATATTAAGAGGAAACACACAATCACTGTGCTCTTGAATAACCTATATTAGTCTAGCTATACCAGTTTTAATTGATGGAATAAGCTTAACCCCTTAACAATCGTTTAATTTTCAAGAAAATGGTCATAAAAGTGCCTATTTTTTTATACATGTATTTGATTAGTGCTGACATCTATTTTGAAATAAACTAACTATCTACAATTATCTTAAAAAATATCCTGGTACTGCCATCTGGTGTATAAAATTAGAATTAAATTTTTCTCGGGCAAAAGAAATGAATTAGTTTTATTCTTATTGGCGTGTTACTACTGAACACTACAGCCTGGGAATATCACGGGAGCGAGAAATAGAGGGCGAAAGCTTACCCTGTCATTTTCACGGGAGCGAGAAGGAAGGGCTAATATAAGGAACAAGCAGGAGGACAAGCAGGGCTAATATAAGGAATAGCTTAACAACATACGTAAAACAAAAAATGCTATACTAAATAAAATAGTTTAGTATAGCTGAAATATCATCTTAAATATAAGATTGCGCTTTGAGTGGTCACCACTTTCAAAAGACAAAAATAAAGTTCCCTGTATTTTCCCAGTTTGTAAGGAAAAACTCAAAATTTCTGCATAACCCCTATTATTTTGAGTAGCTTTTAAATTCCCTGTATTTTCCAGGTTTTCCCTACTCTCCCTGTGGAGTGGCAACCCTTCAACTTTAGTAACTTTGCATATAAAAAATAGTAGCCTAAATAGTATCATCCTCAGAGAAATAATTAAGATGCTATTTTCATCCATGTAGTGATGTTTTGAGTAATAATTATAATAAACTAACGATAAAAATAACATTTCATGATACAATCTTACAATACAATAACTTAGCTAGATCAGTCAGAAGCTAGAGTAACCATTCTTTTACAAATTTGTCAAAAAACCATATCTAATATAACTTTTAACCTCATTAAATTTTTTCTAAAAATAATTTGAATGATTACCTGCATTCTGGTTCACATCTGGAATCTGGCTCAATTTTTCCACATTAATTATTTTAAAAAAAAGGGCTATTTTTGCACACGTTGCTCATGTGGACGAGTTATGGGGCTAGTGTTGACAAACTTGGTAATTTATTAAGCATAAATTATTTTCAACTCAGAAAGATATATCTAAATATATAAGGGTATACCACCACGGTCCAATGTGCATTAGAGAACATTTTATAGCTGCCTGAGTTACACTGAAAGCAACAGTGGTCTAACCCATAATTTTAATACATAAATATATATTTATAAAAAGTGGAGATATTTGACTGTACAGTTGATTCAAGCCAATCATTTTATTTTATTTTTATTGCCATCATCGAACAGCCGAGCCATTTTTATGGGTTTATGACAACAAATGTTCAACTCCGTAGCCTTGTAATTTTGAACCCAATACAGAAGACAAGGGAACTCCTGGGTCGAGTACTGGGAGAAATTCGCCTTTGTGGAGGACTTTTTGATGGAGCTAACCCACATTTGCATTACATGGAGAGGAAGACCACGAGAACCTCCCACTGTTAGCCTGACGGGCAAAAATTATGTTTTAGCTTAAAATTACAAGGGAATTTTTTATTTTAAGGGAATTTTTTGCTATTGTTAAGGGGATTTTTGGAGCCAGGTCAACAGTGATTTACCACTATTTACCACTAATGCAGCTATTACCACTATTTACCACTAATACAGAAAAATACTTTTATTATTTATACGTTTCTGAATTTAAAGCAACAGTGCTTAGGCATACATCTACTCACAATTACATGCCATCAAGACAACTTTGAAGCAAAACAAAAGCAAACTGTAAAATATTATTCAACTTACAGAATATAAAAGTTCATCGTGTAGATTGATAGAATGAGCACCATTCATGGAATTAGCACCCTTTTCAAAATTTGTAGAGTTTCCATTTGTTGAAACCTGAATTGATGAAATAGGGAATGAAGCATAATAATAAAAAAAATCTAATACAATTCCATAGTATTAAATTGTTGCTTTCTCAGTTTATAAATTGACATACTCAGAATACTAAACACAGATCACATTTTCAAAAAAAAATTTCATCATAAGTCATCATAAAGCGTGAGAAAGAGCATTTCATTTTGGATAATAAATTAAGAAAAGGATTTACAGAAAAGGAATAACATACAAAGATTAATTGAAGCTTTTTATATAACATATATATGTATATATATAAACAATCGCTTAACGAACCTTATTAGAAATTTCAGGGACTTCCTTTTGTTGAGATTCTTTTGCACTTTCAATTTCTTTCTTCTTCATATCAAGAGCAGCCAGGAAGAGATCTCTCAGGGTAAGGACAACATGAGAAGCCTATAAAAAAAAGAAATATATAATCTTTTTCTGTCTTCACAAATAAATTATATCAGAGGATGAAATTAAAAGAATAAATATTAGCCACTGGTCAAAAGGACTAAAAACTTTCACTAGTCCTTACAAATTCATACCTGCCAACATTGGAGAAATAAAATAACAGAGATTTTACTAGCGACACATCATGCATAATCATGTAAGTCAAAAAGAGAAATTCAAAATTGGAAATAATATAAGCACTTACATTTAGCAAAGTAAAAAATATGTATATAAATCTTTATGTAAAGAAGATTTTTTTTAAACCATTATCTATAATAACTTAAACAATGAATACTCAACCTACTGCAGTACTGACTAAATAGCACCATCTGTAGTAGAATAGAAGTATTTTTGCCATTAGTGGATGTTTTATCGAAAAAAAAATTTTTTTTTAATTTATTCAACAAATAAGGAGAAATTTTAAAATACACAACAGGTAAACTGGAGATAGATGCAAAACACAGGAGTCTTTGTTAAAAAAACAGGAGATATGGCAGGTATGCAAATTACTATTTCATTCAAATGATTGAGTCCCGCAGTTTACCGATCATTAAGACACAGTTCCCAACAAATCACCAAAATGAAGCATCACTGTTTACGATCAGTGGGCAGGTGGATGACGACTTGGATCCTTGTTAAACAATTCTACCGCAAAGCGCTAGACTTCGCATGCAAGTCTTCAGGCTACCGAAGCGGGGGTGCCATCACCTCAGCAGAGAATCAAAATTGTGATGGCATGTCTTCGAATCATCCTCAGAGATGTTTCCCAGGCTGTCACCAATAGCCCATTGTGCTGCTCTAGTGTGACGTAAAAGAACTACAACAACATCAAATGCCTGAACGTAATTTTTTTCCGAACCAAATATGAAGTAAATTCAATTTTGCAAATACAGTATTTAATTTTTTATTAACTAATTAAAAAATTCAAATTAAGATTGATATAAATTGAAATTTCACCCTCTTTTTAAGAAACTTGTTCATGGCTACATATTTGCAGTAAGTAGAATATTAAAATTGAGATTAAAAAAAAGTGGTATTAGTTAATATAAATAAATGAATAACATAGAATGTGAAGATTTAAAATTGTATGAAAAAATGCAGACAGAGAAACCCAATCAACTTCCCATTCCTTTACATTAAACTTACAGTAATTGGTCCCAAGTTGTCAAGTCCACTCATTGGTGACCCGTAATTAGATTTTAATAGTCTTGGACCAATTGACCACCATTTATTTCGAACGTTGAATCATACAATCAGGGTTATTGAGGTTTTAACTAGTACTCAGAAGTAAATAATATTCTTCCATAAGATTAGCAATCAAAAAATAATTCAATGCGTATTACAAACTGGTTGTTTTAATGGGATGCATCAAGTTTTAAAATTCCTAACAATATTGTTTAAAAGCATATAAAGCTACAATTTAGAAGAAATTTTAGCTTCTTAAAAGACTCTTTCCGCCAGTTAACTTTTAAAAAAAACGATTATTAATTGTTTCTTTATGCTTCATCTATTACTTCAACTGAAACAAGCTTAAAAGTATCCTTTAGTGACATATTAAAATTATGATCTGTTTCAAAGGGAGAGGATAATCTTTCTATTTTAAAATAGGCAAAATAATACAGACTAAATGATTTTTTTAAAAAAAGGCAATTTATTAAAGTTGCTTAAAATAGCATAATGCTTCCTTGATTGGTTTTAGTTAAATATTTAATTCAAATAAGAAAACAAAAGTTATTTATTCGACCATTAAAATAGGGGAAACAAATTACTCTCAAAACTGCCTTCAATAAATATAACTTAATTAATAAAAATGAAAAAATATTTTTACTGCACTTTCCTTTTTTTTAAAAACAATAAACAAACATTAGGGGGAAAAAAGAACATATAGACTGATTGTCCGTAAGAACAGTAAAATCAGAGTATCTGCCACATTTTAGATTTTCACATCCATGACTTTTCATGATTAATTCCAAGAACTTTTCATGACTTAACGAAGTTACTATTTTCTCCAACAAAAACAGAATAATGAATTTAAAAAGCATTATAATGACATTAATTGAAATGACAGGTATAACCAAAACTGTTATACTCAGCATCTTCATATTTAATGATTTTAAATTCAAAAAACAGTAAAGAAAGAGTTGAAGCAATAAAATAGCTGAGCAAATATTTTTTCTTTCTTTTTTCTGCAGAATTATATTCTAAAGATACTTTTCCTGTTCATCAGAAAGGAAAGAAATACTCCTGATTTTTCTGTTCTCATTTCGGAATAAGAAAATTTGCCAAATGACTGGCTTGCTTCAGCTAGAATTTTAAATTGATAAAATAAATAAAAAAATAATAATTCTGAAATCACAGAAGTTCAAAAAATACTTCTTTATAGAAATGATGCTTTTTCTTTCATTTTTTCAATGAACACCATAATTTTTGAAGAAAGAAAAACATTTTATATTTTAATGAAATATGACTGAGTCTGGATTTTGTTACAAATTCAGATATTCGGAACACCATGAAATTGGGGGGGGAGGGATTCCATCTTAAAAATAAAATTTTTCGGCCACCTAAATCGATGACTTTCCATGATTTTTTTTTTAAAAATAATTAAAATCATGACATTTCATGACAAATTTTGTTCAATGTCGATTTTCATGACTTTTCAGGTGCGCGGATACCCTGTAAATTTAATTTAATAAATTAATATCATTTAAATAAGTGGTCATTGGTTCTATTTTTTGAAAAAGGAAAGAAGAAAAAATTGTGAGGGAAAGTAAGACAAACAATAGTAGGATAGCGGCAATATAGACAAACTCTTCTTATAAGTTCTTACATAAAATAATGTTTAAATATAAAAAATTAGGAAAATATTTACACATTCCTCCTACTTTTTCACAATATAAGAAAGAATGAATATAGAGAAAAGGCAATTAAACATAACATGCTCTCCCACTAAAGGGCAGTGGGATCCACTAAAAAAAAATTATGCTAAAAATATAAAGTAATTCAAAGTAATATAAAGTAATTCAAAAATTTCAATAATTAACACTGAAAAAGAAAACTAACAAAGAACTAAACTGAAAAACTAACAGAACTGCCAAACATGAATAGGAAAAAATGCAGTAGATTATTGCAAGCAAGCAATAATACAAAAATTCTATTTCAATGGGGATTTTTTTTTTTAGGAAACTTACTAAATTTTAGGGAATTTTCTAAAATGTACAAAAATCAGGAGAATTTTAATTAAACATGTAGACCAGGAGAAACTGGCAAAATGCAGTAATCAACTGGAAAATCCTGGAGAGTTGGCAGTTTACATCTTTTCTGCATCAAGTGTTTCGGTTAAATAATACAAATTATAACAGAGAATAAACTAATAGTAATATAAAAGAAAAAATACTACATTAAATTTATAGCATTATTTAATTCAACTTTAAGCTACATTTCACACCAAGTATAAACGCAAGCAAAAGAAAATACGTATACACAATTACATTTTTACAATAACTACAATAATACAATTATGTACGAACAAAGAAAAGGCACTCTACAGCCACTATCAGCATTTTTTATAACTTATCTTTGCATTGATTCCCAAAAAAGACTGAGTGTATGTACAGTAGGGAACCGATTATCCGGAACGATCGGGACCATCGCTATTCCGGATAACTGACTTTTCCGGCTTTCTGAATCGCTACAAAAAGTCGTTTTTTTTATTGTTAAACTCAACTAAAAAAAATATTTTTTTGGAAATAATCTTGAAAAGAAGAAAAAACGATGGAGTAATACACTAATGATTATTTCCAAAATGATGGTAAGGTAAACATCTTTCAAAAAAGAAAGAAAAATCTTAAAATCTTATGAGGAAAAAAAAATTTTTTTTTTAAAAATTGCGGAAAATTTATCGAATTTCGTTCCGGTTTTTTGGTTTTCCGGTTTTCTGATTTCCGGATAACGGGTTCTCAACTGTACTATAAATTTGTTTAAAAAAAATTTAAATAGCATAAATCTTTTACTTGATCTTTTCACTATTTAAAATCTTGTTAAAAATTATGGCACACACAAATTACCTTTTTAATCCAAATGATTAAAATCAAGGTAAAATTTATCATTTGCATTTTTAATAACTTATCTTTGCATGAATTTATGAAGAAAAAAATTACTCTGTTAATAGGCAGTTTGAAAATACTACACATTAGTTTTAAAAAAAATTCAACTTAATTCAAATTATAATTAATAATAATATTCAGGCCCGTCCTCAACGGGGGGGGGGGAGGGGTGTCT